GCGGGGACACCGCGGGGACACCGCGGGGACACCGCGGGGACGCGGGGGCGCGGGCCGCCGGCCGTGTACGCGTGCAGCGTCATTGTGGACTTCCCCCAGTTCAAGATCATGAGGGGGGCGGGCGCGGCGCGCGGCCTGGCCGCCGCAAGGGAGGACGGGCACGGGGCACGGGGCCGAGAGGGGAAAAGGGGGGGGGTTAGAGGGTAGAGCGGGGCTGTGCGAGTGCGCCCGTCGCCAGCGGCCGCGGGGAATACACCCCCACAATGCCCGAGAGGTACCACATTGACTCGACTTCGACTCTACTCACTCTAGCCTAGCACTAACATTGTTTACTCAGTCCAGCATTCCATAACGTACCTGAGTTCCTCTCAATTGCGCCGCATTGCCGACAGTGTACAAAGCCGACCTCAAGTTCCTCTGGATTGTTGGTCACAATTAATTCAAATTTTTTCCAGCATTCTGATTTTTTATTTGATGACTGGTCCTTGAATTTAAGTTCTTTGTTTTCCACCCGTTTGAGGATGGCCGCTCTCTCTTCTTCCCTATCTTTATTTGTTTTGCCCCCCTTTTTCCCCGTCCCTCCCGCATTGGCACCTGCCATTGTCAAGTACTTATGTAGTTTAATACCCTTACCAAATACTCTGCCGCCCACACGCTCCACTGTCAATCGTCAATCAGCTGTGTTGTCTCGTCTGCCGGACGCCGTATGTTTTGAGTTGCCGTGTCAACGAAAGGGGAAGGGAAAGGGAAGGGGGCGCCGCCGCCCGCCGCTGCACTAGTCGTCCCGTCCCCCGCCTCTCCCCTCGCCTGCCATGGCTGGGCTCGGCTGGGCAGCGCTGCGGCTGCTCGGTCGCCGCTCGCCAAGCGACCGAGCCCCGAGCAACAAACGGGTCCCGATTGTTCGGGTGCGGTCGGCATGCATCGGCAAGAATCGGCTCATCTCTGAGCGACTTCGGATTAGGAGTCCCCTCTCTCTCGCACACCAGCGGCGCGCCTGGCCCGGCGCAGCACGGGACCTGAACGGGAGCGGATGCCGGCCTTTGGCACAACCTTCATATGGCATGAAGCCTTTCTGCTCTTTAGAGATGGCACTAGTAGTACTAGACCAGCTGAGAATGGCATCGGCGAGGACACCTGTATACAACTTGTAAAGACAATTTGATAGAGCAATTGGGCGCCAGTTTGACAGGACCTCCCTCGGGCCCTGCTTGTGGAGGAGGATAGACCTTGAGGAACGCCAGGACGCCGGGATGGTCTGGGCGCTGTAGCAGCGGCTGAAAATGGCGTGCATGATACGGGCCCCCCGGTCCTTTGACCTGATGGTGTTGAAGTCGACCCCATCGGGCCCCGGGGCCGTGTTCGTTGCTCTAGCAAGCCTGGCAGCGATGGCGTCCCTGGAGATGGGTGAAGCCAAGATACCGTCGTGGAGCTGTGTGGTTGGTAACACAACCCCCTCCGGAACGGCTGAAAGGTCCATGTGGCGTCCCTTGTAGACACCTCTGAAGTAGGTCTCCACCTCCTCGGCTGACACCGGGCAGAGTGGAGAGTCTTCCCCCCGTACCTCGCGCATGGCGCGCTTTTTGTTGAGGCGGTACAAGCGCTGAAGACGGAGCGCTTCTTGAGCAGCATCACGGCGGCC